AGACTTAGGTGTGCTCAACACAAGCCATGGTATTTTCAGGTGCCTCATATGCATATGAGAGCTGGACAATGAAAAAGAAGAGCAAAGAAGAGTTGATGCTTTTGAACTGTGGTGTTGGTGAAGAATGCTAAGAGTACCATGGTCTGCTAAAAGAACTAACAAATCTGTCCTGGAAGAGGTGCCGCCGGAGTGCTCCTTGGAAGTGAGAATGGTCAGACTTGGTCTCACCTACTTTGTTCTTGTAAGAAGGCACCATTCCCTGGAGAAGGCATCATGCTTGGCAAAGTGGAAGGACAATGAAAAAGGGGAAGGCCCTCAATGAGATGTATTGACACAATGGCTGCAACGATGGACTCAAGCATAGAAAAGGTTGTGGGGCTGGCACAGGACTGGGCAGTGTTTCGTTTTGCTGTACATGAGGTCGCTATGAGTCGGAGATGACTCGATGGCACCTAACAACAACATGTGATGGTACCATTGTAAGGATAAAAGAATGAACGAGAAGATGGCTCTGTTGTTTTATAAAAAGGAATGGCCGCAGGTTCGGCAAGGCAGGTGTACAGTATTTGTGAAGGGCAGTGGCAAGAAACAAGACTGAAAAAGGAGTGTTGTGTCAGATTACAATGGACTTTATATGTTTTGTCAAATGTTTTGGACTTTATGCTGAAGGGTACAGAGAGGTTTTTGAAAGACAGATTTAGGATTGGAATGATCCTTTAACTGAAGTTAATTTTATACTTGGATAATGGTGTGAATGCTAGACTGGAGGAGTCGGAGTTAGGAGCCAGGGAGCAACTGCAATAACAATGAATGAAGTCAGTGTAGTGAGGATGGAGAAAGGGCCAGGCTCAGAGATATTTAGTAGTAGCATCAACAAACAGGTCAATAGAATATGACTGATTGGATGTATGTTCGGGATGGGGGAAAGGAAGATATCAAGGATCCCTGTTGTGAGCTGCTGTAGTGTTGGTTCTGACTTATGGTGACCTTATGTAAAACAGAATGAGCTCTGGTGGCCTAGTGCCTGAGGCATTTGACTGCTAACCAGAAATCTGGCAGATTGAACCCACCAACCACTCCTTGGAAGAAAGATGGTGCAATCTGCTTCCATAGAGATACAGCCTTGGAAATCCAAAGGTGGGGGGTGGGTGAGTCAGATCCGACTGGACAACAGTGAGTTTGGTTTTCGGTTTTGGTATGTACAACAGAATGAAACGTTTCCTGGCCCTGCATCATCCTCACAATCTCCAGTATGTTTTGAGTCCTTCATGTGGCTGTTGTGCAAATACATCTCACCTAGGGTCTTTCTCACTCTTGCTATCTACTTCATCACACATGATCCCCTCCTCTAATGATCAATCCCTCTATGATGGATCCAAAGCAAGTGAATTGGACAATGTTCTGTTGTGATTCTTAGGGATTTCATTGGCTAATTTTTGTAAGTAGTTCGTCAGGCTTTCTTACTCATCTGTCTTTGTCTGGAAGATCCACAGAAACCTGTCTACTATGTGTGACTCTGCCAGCATTTGAAATACTACTGGCATAGCTTCCAGCATCATAGCAACATGCAAGCTACCACAATATGACAAACTGGCAGACAGGTGGTGGAAAGGATGTCTGCTGGACATTTTTTTCTTTTTAATTGTCATTTGGGTGAAACTTTACAGAGTAAATTCACTTTCCATACTGTCTGCTGGATTTTTGAGTCCCTGGTACGTAAAGAGTGGCAATTAGCTTATAGAGCTTATACAATCACTCTTAACTGCCTACAGTGGGCATTGTTATATGAAATAAGAAAGTGAGTGGCTATGTAAGATACTATTACAGAAGAGGCGATTAAAAATAATAGGTGCATGTGAGAACTACTTTTGAGACCATAAGCACAAAATAGAATCCGAAACCTTCAGCTCTTTCCTCACCACACATGTATATTTGGATACTTCTCCTATTCCAGTTGGTAGAATTCAATATTCTGTGACGAAGAGAGATGTTGGGATTGCTATTTATTTATTTGTTTATTTGACTTAAGGACAACTCACTTGTACTTGCCCTTCATGTATTTATTTTTCAAAAAACTTTTTATTATGATTTGTGTGAAACTCTACAGAGTGAATTGGTTTTCTCTTCAACAATTCATATACATTTTGTTTTGTGACATTGATTGCAGTCCCCACAGTGTAACAGTACTCTTTCCACTCCCTCCCTGTGTTTACCATTTCCCTTTGTCCTTCTTTCCTATCCCTTCCTGCCTTCTGAGTTTATCCCTGCGCAAATGCCACCCTTTTGATTTCATATGGTTGACTGTTCTTACTAAGTAGTGTGTAACTCCCAGGTGTTATTGTTCACCTTATAGGCTTTTCTACTGTTTGGACGAAAGCTGAACCATGGGGATGAGTTCAGTTCCAGGCTTGAAGGGTGATGAAAGGCCATAGTCTCAGGGATTTCACCAGTCTCTATCATACTAGTAAACCTGTTTTTTTTTTTTCCCCCCAGAGTTTTGTTCCACATTTTTCTCCCACTCTATCCAGGACCTCTTATTGTGATTCGTTTCAGAGTGGTCAACAGTCGTAGCTAGGTACCATATAGTTCTTCTGGTCTCGTGGTCACAGAGGCTGAGGTTCATGTGGTCAATTAGTTCTTTGGACTAATTGTTTCCCTGCATCTTTGATTTTCTTCACTCTTCTTTGCTCTGGATGGGGAGAGACCGATAGTTGCATTTTAGATGGCCACTCACAACCTTTTTAAGACCCCAGTCTCCCTCATGGACTATATTATGCCAGTTGACCTTGGTATCCCCTGAGACTATGGTCCTGAGCCCCTAGGCCCATTCCCTCAAGGTGTTTGGTTATGGCTAAGAAGTTTTCATAAATTTTCCCCCTGTATATTCTACTATATTCATGAATATATTTGCAGCACATATTAATATATATGTAGAAATACCCTCTGTCAAACCTATATATATTCATGAATGTAGTCCCATTCATTTTTCCATCACTGTTCAGTCTATCTATATACCCACTTGTAGATTACTATTATTACTGTGATTTCAGGATTGTGTATGATACAGTATTTGCCTTTGTTGCCTTTAACTCTTGTGCTTCTCCCAGTGTCTTCCTCTGTGTTGATCACTTTGTGCTAACTTCCCCCTTATTGTGTATTGCCTTTCTCTTCACCCAAGTTAATACTCCTCTACCCTTTTGTTAGTGATTTACCCTCCCACCCCTAGAAACCTTCAAAGAATGCATCTTTCTTTTGCATAAACTTTTCTTGGCTTTTTACAGTCGTGGTCTCATATAGTATTCGTCCTTTTGTGATGGACTTAATTCACTCAGAATAATGTCATCTGGATTCATCCATGTTATGAGGTGTGGAGTTTTGTTTTTTTTTTTAATAAAATGCTTACGTAAATAGTTTCCCAGGAAAGGATTTTCTCTGTTGGGAAGAGAGAAGTTTGGGAGAAGGCCAATGAAACTGTATGTGTGAGAAGAAATATAAGTTGAGAGTACGGGAATAAGTGACCAGAGAGGGATAGGTATATTAGTTTGAGCTAACATACCTCAAAGAAGACAGATGTTATACCTATATACCACTCCGTCATTTAACCCCATTTATAGCTTCGAAAATTGAGATCTTAGATTAAGCAGGTTGACCAAGATGCTCAACTAAGTTAAAATCTCTTTCCTTCAAGTCACTTCCTGCTCAGGGCCACCCCATGGTACTGTGCTCCATTGGGTTTTCATTTGTAGCCCAATGCTTAACCATTTGCAGAACCCAGCCATTCCTGCTAGTAAGTTAAGGAAGCCAAATTTGAAAATAGTCTGGAAGCAGTATTACAATATAAACCCTCTCCTAGACCAGCCAGGACTGAAATATCCATAGGTCAAAGTGACCCATACCTTTGCCCATCTCATCCTGCAGTAATGAAACTTCTGCTGCACAGGCGGTAACTAATTTTGGACTGCCTATGAATTGGAATAGGAGCTCTGGTAATGCCCTGGCTAAGGCATTCGGCTGCTAACCAAAAGGTCACTGGTTCCAACTGACCACCCCTTTTGCGGGAGAAAAACTAGGAAGTCTGCTTCGGTAAAAATGTATAGCTGTGGAAACCCTACGGGGTCGCTGTGAGTCAGAATCAACTAGATGGCAAAGGTATGAGTTGGAATAGCTCGATGTCAATGGGTTTGATTTTTTGTGGTTCGCTGTTAACCTACTTGGGGAAGGCCTTCCGTATTGTCCTAGCCCTAAAAGGAGCGCAATATGGCGTATTTGATAGCAGCAGCTCCTCAAATGGTACACCGTCATCTACTGATGAGGGTTCAAACCTCAAATGGTGTTAAGGATACAAGTCCCTTGACCCAGTTCTTCCATTAATATCTTGGTAATACTGTCTTTTCAGTTAATCGTCCCTTTTATTCCTGTGAAGTGGGTGGTATTACAAAGTTCATTTTTATTCCCTGAAAAAAGAGATTGTAAACATCCCTTATGGCCATTCTACTAACTGGATGGTCAGAGCGCTTTTGCTTCCTGACGTCCCCCTCCTCCCCAACCTTAAGTAATCCTTAGGATGAGGTCAGGTACCTGCTTTCCTCCGCTACTGCCACTAGCTTCTGTCCTGATCCGAAGCTTGCGACCGCCATCCCCGGACCCCCTACTCAAGTGTTTGTTCAGTGAGTGTCAGCGCCCCAGTGTGCAAGCCAGACTCATGAGCAGCCGCTTGTTGCTACAGCTGCCACGACGTGGGGAAGTGAAAATGAAATTGACTTTTCCGAGAAATGATGAAAGCGGCGCTGCCTGCCAATGAACAGCGGCGGCGAACTTCCGCACCTCCGGGCCGGGCCACTCGAGCCCTCCCTTTGCCTCCACCTCCCGGTTGCACAAGCTTGAAACAAACACTGGGGAGGAAGGGCGGAGGGAGGAGGGCCGAGGGGGGAGGGCGAGGGAGGGAGGCCGGAGGAGGGCGGAGGGTGGGGGGATTTCCAGGCTCAGCTCTTCGCAGTTTCCTCTCCTTGTTTTGCTTTCGATCTGGACTGTTCTCAGGCAAGCCGGGGAGTAACTTTTAGTTTTGCTCCTGCGATTATTCAACTGACGGGCTTTCATTTCCATTTCACACACCCTAGCAACACGTAAATCTTGCGGAATTTTATTGGTAGCGTGAAAAAGCACACTGAGAGGTAACATTTTTTCAAATAATAGTTGTGGCTGTGCGTGTGTGTTTTGCTCGGGGGCATGTTTATGAGGACCGGAGGAGATGTGTGTGTTAGTGTGTCCTGATGGCTTGACACGATGTTTTGCAGAAGGAAATGCTGGGGTTCATAAATCTTAATACTGATTTTTTGGAGGAACAGTCGGCGCAGTTATGGATCATCTCATTTTAGGGGAAGCAGGTTCTGCTGCTACTGGGGCTGCTGAAGCTGCGAGGAGGAGGAGGAGGAGGAGGTGTGGAGGGAGGAGGAGGAGGAGGAGGAGGAGGTTGGTGGAGGTTTAATTTCACTTTTGGATTTGCAGATGCGGAGAGGTGGCTGGCTCCATGGACACAGACCTGTTCTGTGTGGTTCTGCGCCCCAGGTGTTATGTGTGTGTGGATCCGGGTCCGCTGGAGTCAGGCCTCCTTTTAAAACAAAATTATTTTTTATGTATGTTTACAGTCAGCGCCGCCACCAGAACCGAAGAAGGGGAGCGGGTCCTTCTTGGTGCCCGGCGGCAGCGCCCCTCTCTGGGCAGCTTCAAGCGTCAATAAGCAAGAACCCGCCGCTTGCCCCGCTGCCCGCGCCCCGGCAAAACGGGCGCCTCTCGTCGCGGCCAAAGGAAACTTAGTGGGGCGCCCCGCGGCGGTCCCAGGGTTCGCTTGCCCGCCGGGCTTGGCAAGGGGGCCGCGGACGCTGGGTGCCAGCGGCCCGAGCCGGCGGCGGGCGGGCTCGGAGTGGGGCTAGCAGCCGGGCCTGGCCAGCGCGCCCGGCTTCCTGGGGGCTGGGCCGCCGCCGCTCCGGAGGGACGCTGCGTCCTCTTTCCCGCCGGCCAGCGCCCGGCCTGGCCCTGGGGCTTTGTCACTGCACTTGTCCCAGCGCGCGAGGGGCTCTGGCGGCGCGTCCCCAGAGGGCGCCACCCCAAGGGGTCATCTGCTCCGGCCGCGGCCTAGCACTGAGCGCCAGCGGTCCCCGCGGGCGCCCCGGGCCGGCCTCCCGCGCTGGGCCTGACCCGCCTTGGCTACGGAGCGGGCGAGGTGGGGGCGGGGAGCCCCGGGGACCGAGCAGCGCCCTGCGGACAGGCGTGGGCGTCCACGGCCCCCTCGGGTCCTGGGCGCAGGCTGCGAAGGGGTAGGGAGTGAGTGCCCGCCCTGCGCCCTCCAACCCGGCTCTAAGCACCAGGTGACATTTGCCCGGCGACTGAACATGGTTGGTGCAAAGCCGCTGCCGCCACTTCCTTTCCGCTTCGCCGGCCCGGCTCGCCCACCAAGCGATGCTGGCCGCGGCCAATCACGGCGCCCGCCCGCCTGTGCCGTTCGTTCCCAGTGGCACGGCCTGTGGTCCAGCACCCCAGCGAGAGGCTAGGGAAGCCATTCCAAGTTCGGATGTTTTCAGATGCTAACTGAGCCCCCTCCTCAGGACGCATTGGAGTCTCTCTTTGGCCCCAGCTCTTAGTGCATTTGCTACTCTGAGCCCTGGCCGGAGCCAGGCTCAGGGACTGTGATCGGGCACGAGACGAGGTGCCCTAGTCAGTAGGGTAGGCAGGACCTTTTGTGATCAGCTGTAAACAGGACTCCTGGGACTGGCAGTCGAGGTTGCCACATTCAAGGGGGTGGTTTTCAGTGTTTTTAACCCCGTGGTGTTGCATTTTAACCGCTCCCTCCCTTTGCAGCCTCCTCCCTGCTGTGTACTCCTTGTCCTTGGTTATAGAATAAGAAAATGCAGTCTTTATAAATGAGGAAAAGTGGCCACGACATTTGCTTTCTGCCACTGGCCTCCCTGTTGCTGTGACTCGATCTGCTTTTGATGAATGTCTACGGAGGGTGGAGGATAGTTACATTTCCTGTTGTGGATTTTCAGGAATCACCAAGGTTGTTGTCAAGCGTGCAGTCGTTTATTAGTTTTCAGACTCACTGTAAATGTGTTTGGACTTTTAGCAGCCTGCACATTTTGGTGCTTAAGGGCAGGTGCAGAGAAGAGTCTGGTGATAGACTGAGCATGAAAGTGGATGGCCCTGATGTTAGACAGATACCAGGACTGGAGAGTGATCCCTGTTGAATTTCATTTCTCACAGAAATTCAGGATTATCTTATTTTCCCAAAGCCCCATCGTTTTTTCTTGGGCGGGGGTGGTGGTGGTGGTGTTAGGAAGTGGGGGGAGGGAGAGAGTGTAAAAATAGAAAACTAAAAATTTCTAGAAAAACTTACCTTTTTTAAGGAAACTTTTTCAGATAGAATATTTGGGATATAAACTGCCATCTCTAAGGATAACCTTGGAATATCTATCGATTGATGTGCCGAAGTCCAGAATTTCACTGTAATTAGTGAATGTTTGTAATTTATAACTTGGCCTGTTAGGTAAGAAGTTAGATTTTGGCCTCTCTTAGAGCCAAGAGTTCTAGTCCGTTGTTATGATTTACGTAGTTTAACGGCTACTCAAAATGAAACACTTGGATTTTCCATTCTCAATGAATTGTCATTTTTCTGCTGACCTTGAGAAATAATTCCACGTATTTCAGACTTACCTGTAAAAATGTCATCAAAATCAAGATATTTAAATTTATTAATGGGACTTTTGAAACTTTGGGCATTCAAATTAATTTGATGTGCATTGAATTTCTCATGTTACCAAGGATATTTTACTTTTATTCTTAGTGTTATCGAGTATAAGCTCTGTTGTTTGTATGTTTATTTATTTTTTAAAGAGTATTTTCACAGTGTATTCTTTTGATGGTGAACAGAGCTCTGAACTGGGTCATGATTCCCTAATCTGCTTTATACCAAAAAGGGTTTAAAGCAGATAAGGGCATTATTGAGTAATTCAATAAATACTCGTAGAACATTTACTATGTACGAGGCTTGTGGGTTCAACTGAGAACAAGAAAGATCATCTCTTTAGCCCTTAGGGAGATTGCATTCTAGTTGGTGAGCTGTTAACAAATAACCAAAAAATAAATGTAATAATTACTTTTTGGGATTCTATGATGGTAGTAACAATACTTAACTGTATATCTCACAGAGTTGTTTTTGAGAACAAATGACATACTATGTATGAAAGAAAATTGCCTAAACTACTGTAATCTATAAATGTATAAGGCACTAACTTGAAAAAAAAATCTGTCAGATTACTATTACTGTAAAAAGGAAGGAGATCACGACTCTGAATTAAACACTAACTTTCTCTTATAGAATTTCCAGCCAGGAGGGATTTTACTTCTTCTGGGAGTATATAAATAATGGTAAGGAATTGAATATGGAATAACTGTTTTATGTCAGGTATCAGGAAAGTATGTAACAATGAAATATCATAATGTCAGTGAATTATTCCTGTCAAAAGTAAAGTTAGATGATATCCATAGAGACTGAATGAGGTAGAAATAATGATTGGACCAATGTATTTTCTCACTTGATATCAGAAAAAAATGTTACAAAGCTTCTTTTTGCTTTAGTCTGAATTTTCTTCACCATTGCTTTCAGACTTTTTAATTCATTATCTGTAATTACGGGCATGCTTGAGCTAATTTCAATATTTGCTATAACATCTTTAAAAGGACTTGATTAACTTGCATTTATGGAATATTTACTGTATGCCCAGCATTATATATATGTGAAAATAATAATTTAATAAATATGTAACATGTATTATTAACATATAAAACGTGAAAATACATAATGTAATATATAAAAATAACATGCTGAGAAATGTCAGTTATTAATAATAGAAGTCAGTTTTTCTTTCTTTTGTCTGTCTGGGGTACCATGTTCCTTCTCATACAGGAGTAAAAGGTCAGAGCTTTCTGCCTCTCTAGCTGTCCTGTTTTCTGCCCCACCTTTGACCTGAGTTTGAACAATAGTTTGTGCATATCTGCCCGAGGTGGTGGGGGTGGTTGATGGGAATAGGAGTGAGGTTTTTCAACAAAGAGTGATAAACTTCTGTACACAGTAGAAATAATACAGAGTTCAAATGTAAACCTGAAACCAGTAAACCAGTATTTTATTTAAAATACCGTGGGAAATCCACAGCCATGATTGAAGCCCATAGGTGCCTGATGCTGACAGGCAACTTTGTCTCGAGGGCTCAGCCTGGGCCTCTCTGGAGTTAAAGCACACAGCAGGTCTGCAGTCTCCAACTTTTTACTTTGAAGGAGACTTTCAAAATGATATTCCCTCTCACAAATCCCATTTTTTGACTAGCTGTCTTGAAACAAATTGCACTTATTTAGAAATAATTCACTTGCCCATTTTTTATTACTCAGAAACATAAGATATGTAGTCAGAACTTATCATTGACTTGAGAAAACCATTATTATCAACTCTAGGTGATCTAATTTGAGGTGAAGTAGAGAAACTTGGTGTTCTAGTCAGCCTGGAGAGGTTGTTTTTTTTGTTGTTGTTGTTTAATTTTAATTGTGATTTGAATGAAAGTTTACAGAACAAATTCATCTCCATATAGCAGTTCACATACACTGTGTCTCATGACATTGACTGCAATTTCCCACAATGCAACAGCTCTCTTCCCACTTGCCATAGTTACCTCTTCCCTGTGTCCTTCCCTCCCATGCACTCCTGCCCGCTGAGCTGTCTCCCTGTGTATACACAGCCCTTCTGTTCTCTAATGGTTGATGTTTCCAAGGAGTGTATACCTAATGTAAATGTTCAGCTCATAAACCTGTCTTTTGTTTGGCTGGAAGCCACAGGAGTGGCTTCAGTTTCAGACCTGAAGGGCAGCTAGGGGCCAGAGTCTCAGGGGTTTTACCAGGCTCTATCAGACCAGGAAACCTGGTTCTTTTTTTAAAATGATTTTGAGTTTTGTTCCACATTGTTCTCTCACTCTGTCCAGGATCTTCTACATAGATCCCCCTCCAAGTGGTTGACAGTGGTAGCTGTGCACCATATAGTTCTGGTCTCATAGTCATATAGGCTGAGAATCACATGGTGTACCAGTCACTTGGACTAATTGTTTCCATGTGTCTTTGGTCTTCTTCATTC